GCTTTGAACCCAAGAAAAGGGACCATGGGCTCTCTAGAGAGCTTTGAACCCAAGAAAAGGGGGCCATGGGCTCTCTAGAGCTTTGAACTCAAGAAAAGGGGCCATGGGCTCTCTAGAGAGGACAGGAAGAAGCCTGAGCTGAGTCAGGCACCCATTCCCGGAGTACTGTTCCGACAACTGGAAGGCAATGTCATCACAGCCCACTTCCACATGAGGAAACGGGCTTAGACAGGCGAGTTCACGGCTAATAGTGACTAACTCACACCCATGCCACTCTCCTCTTCCCACTCAGGAAGCCAAAGGAGACAGACAAGATGTCCAGAAGGGGGCATCGAGAGCCCTCCTGGTGGAGATGTCCAAAAATGAGGGGAAGTTTTTCTCCTCAACTTCAGCCAAGATCCTCACCTTCCCTGCCTGCTTCCAATCTACAAGACGAGAGCCTAGGATGAGGTCTTAGGGACTTCATTTCTGCAGATTTAGTCAATAAATGTTTGCCAAACACACAGTGTATTCCAGAGGCAAAAAGACAAATGTCATCTCCAACAATATTAAACTGTAATGACTCATTTATAGGTGACAGGAGAGGAAACCAGAGGCTGAAATTCCACAAATAGTGGTGCCAGGCTCAGGGAAGCCTGCTTCCCAGAAATGAAGACTTGGGGGGGGGGTGATGGAGGGCTTACCTGTAAGTTTGATTAAGGGGTGCCTGGCATGCCCTCATTCACCCTCTGCTATGGGACTAAAACGGGAATAATGAGGGAGAGAAAGAGGCATGCCTCTTTCCACCAAAGCAGAAAATCTCTAAGATCCCTGGGTACTAACACTAGAACGGGAGAGTGCTAGGATAGTTTGCGGCACAAGGCAGAATTATGGCCTGCGGAAGCTGCATGGCTGAGCGGCCAAGGAGACCAGGGTTGGAAAAGGGAGAGCTTGCCCATTCCCTAAACCTGCAAAGCCGGCATCAGTGCAAACTTCCACGTGAGCCTCGAGCGCATCTCCCCGGACCAAGGCAAGACTAGGCACACCGGGAACACGGACAGCAGCATGGGTTGCAATTCCGAGCAATGAAGGAAGGGAGGTCGACCCTGCGCCCCGAGTGCTGGACATGGATAGGGCCAGAGGCCTCACAGTGCATCGAGGGCCGCAAGAACCTGATCGAGCTGGCACGTACTAGGGCTGGGAAAGATGCACGCACACCAGGCCATGAGCATCTTCGAGGCTCTGGTGAGCACACCGCATCCGTTTGGGCCCCGGATTGCTGTGGAAACCGGGTCAGAAAACGGAGGACTAACCGAAGGAGACCCCGAAGTCCAACTTCTGCTGGCAACCGGGATGCACCAATAGTGACGCAAGGGGGAGAAAGAGAAACCCACGCGACCCAGGCCCAGCCCTGTGTTCCGTGCCGTGCCTTGCAAACACCAGATCGTTAGTAAGATGCAATATGTACAGCCCCACCCGGGACCCTGAGGTCTCTTCGAGCTCCGCTGCCACCCGCGCCTCCAAAACACGCACACTTCCCCCGCACTTGGTTCAGTCCACCGCTGGCGTGTTACCTAGGAGACGGGCACCGGATCCACGCTTACGAGGACGTCCCGCACCGTGGATCCAGAGACCGGGCAGCCGGTGCCCAGCGAAACCCAAGGTCTCGTGGGCTCAGCACCGGCCAAGGGGGGCGCCCAATCCGCCGCCACCCACGCGAGGAGCCCCGGCCTGAGGGACACGGCACACTCAGCCCAGGACCCGCCTCGCGTCACTTTCTTCGTCAAAGCCGCGCGGCCAATGAGAACCCGAGTCCGAGGACCCTGACTCCGCGCGCGCCAGCCAATCGGCGCGTCGGCGGGAGCAGCATGATTTGCATGGACTTCAATGGCCTCCGCCAATGAGACTGTGACTGGCGTGAGCCATAGCCAATGATAGGCTGCTAGGGGCGTGGCCGCGGGCGTCCCACGAGGTAAAGATGCTGCGGGCGGAACCTGCGGGAGCTAGCGGGATTCGGGGGCGCTGAAGTCGCAAGGGCAGGGCGGGAAGGAAGATCCGGAACGGGGCGCGGGATCCGGAGCTGGAGGCCCCCAGGTGAGTGCAGCTGGGAGACCCCAGCGGGCACCTGCGAGGCCGCGCTGTCGCGGGTACCGCGGTCCCTCTCCATCTCCTCTTCCCCAGCCCTGCATCCCTGCCCCCGCCGCGGTTCTCACCTCCTCTCCAGCCTCCCCACCTCCTTCTCCACAGTCTCCCTGCCCCCACCCCACCCTCTCTGCTTCCCTGTCATCCTGCCCCACCTTTCAACCGACATCCCAGACCCCAACCCCAAACTTCATCCCCGGCTCTACCCCTTCCCGCCCCGTATCCCCACCTCGCCCTTGCCTCCCTGCTTCCCATCCTCTCTCCCGGCCTCTGCGCACTCCTAGTAGCTGTCTTTTCCATCTCTCTCCTTGTTGCTCCTCTAGACTCATCCTTCGTCCTTGCTGCCTGCCGGGTGTCCCTTTCGTCTTGACCCCAGCTTCCCACACATTCTGCTCCTAGCCCCTTCGATCCCTGGCACCACCACCACCACCACCACCGCAATGCTCTGTTTTACAGTGCTCCTCAGCACCTTGACACTCGTTGCATCTACACCTTGCCCCCCAGCCCCCCGCGCCCGCCTCTGTCCCTAGACCTCTACCCAACCCTCAGCTTCTCCCCTATACCCAGGCCCTGGCAGTAAGCACATCCCCACCTCCCTACCTGCTGCTACTGCTGCTGCAGGATGCGGAGCCCAGCTGCTGCACTGCTGCCTGCTGCAGTATCTGCAGCAAGGTGTACCTGCCCACCTGCCCTCCCTCCCATCTGCACACCCTGCCTGCTTCTCCTGGCACTTGTCCTGGGGTCTCCTGCAGGATGCCTCCCAGCACCCTTTGCTGCCTGCCTACGGGCTACCATCTATCTCCCTTCTCACCCATCCCCCCCTTACTGCTCAGTCTCACTTTGTGATTCAGCATTTTTGGGGTTGATAACTTTCTTTGCTTACTGGTGTGGAAGGGACCTGTCTTAAAGGCAGGTGCTCTGGACTCCAAAGGTATGAGGGTCACATCAGAAGCCATACTTGAGCTGCCCATTTGGAAAGGGGGCGGGAGCCAAGGACCCACCAGTGGAGGTTTGCCTCTTGCTCCGTTCCATTTGTCTGCCCTGTGTTGAACCACATCCAAGGGGAGGTGACATAAGTAATAGCTCTTGGAGAGATGGACTATTAGCATTTATGGAAATTAATACATCTCCATCGAAGAGCAGGAACACCAAGTTCAGGCCACAGCTGTCCCACTATCTGTCGCTTCAAGGTTTCTTCTTTCTTTGCAATTTCTCCTCCCCCTCAGAAACTCCAGCCCCCGACTCCCTTCAGTGCCAAGAATAAGCTTCCACTCTGTGCTTAAAGCGACACTCGGACCCAGCGTTGCAGGGTTTGGGGACCTGTGTGTGTGAAGAGTCCCATCGATCCACCTGCTTCTTTCTGGGCAGACGTGTGCTCTGCAGAGCCCAGCTAGCGTGGCCTCATGCTTTTTTAGCGTGGAGTCCTCAAAGTGCACTTGACTTTTGAGGTCCTCTTGGTTAGGTCCAGCCTGCAACCTCCCCAAGGGAAGCTGTTCAAGTCTACACCAGCTTTGTGCTGGGTTGTGACAGGACCCTGTCTGGAAAGCAGCCTGGGGGAGATTCCCTTCTAAAGCAGAGATTCACCCTTTTTGCCTCTTTGCCACACCAGGCAACAAATGCCTTGTGGGTGCCAGTCAGGATCTAGGTACTGAGCCAGGCATTGGGCAGAGAAAGGTGTCGTGGGAAAAGGTGAAGCCCTTTTCATACGTTTCTAGAGTCCAAAATTTAGTGAGTGTGGATGTGGAACCTGGATGAGGGACGTGTGTCTAAAAGCAGTCACCCATAGAAGATGGGAACTGTGACACTCAGGACATGTGCTATAAAGCCAGAGAGCCAAAAGTCCTGTGGCTGGCCCACTCAGGAAACGCCCTATCCTTGGGCTGGCTTCTCTGTCTTTTCATTCTTCACTCACATCAAGTGACTGGGAGGAAATGGCAGGCGCCATGTTGACGTGCAGCTTCTAGGAGGGGCCTTGTGTTTGTGGGCACTCGGCATGGCAACTGGGCACACAGGAAGGACAGCCTCTGCTGGTCTTACAGTGCTGGGGAATGTGTTTCCGTGTCTGAGGACACTGGCTGGAAGGGACGTGTGTTTGAACCTCGGTCAAATTCTCCGCAGAGCCAGAGTGGTGTTGTAGAGTTGAGTAAGGAGACAGAGCAGCAGCTGTTACAGGCAACATCTGGAAAGGTGGACTAGAAGTATCCAGGCAGAGACACCGTACCTCCCTCCACCATGTCTCCCAGTAGCCAGGAAGTCTCCCTCACCTTGTAGGGATGAAGACTCTAAGGTTACAAGAGTTGTGCCCACCCACCAGCCAGCCCTCTCCTGCCCCAGAACAGAGATCCGTTTTTTTCAAGGCCGACAGAGGCAGTGATGGAGTGGGGCAGACCACATGCTCGACACTTACCTGAACCTAGTTCACACCATGGCTGCCCCAGCTGGAGGAAACCAGCACCCCAAGGACACAATGGCTGCCCTTTGGGAAGGCCACTGGTGAAGTATCACTGACCTTTCTAGAAGCTCTTATGGTGTGTCAGAATCACAGAACCATCTCTCAGGAACAGGGGGAGAGATCACTGACCACAACAAATTCTCAGGTCAGCCCAACCTGGAAAAGTTCCAGCACAAGGTGCTGTTGTTCATGCCCATGTGTTTAGAGGGGGAGGCAGGAAGCTGGCTGGGGCCCTGGGTGCAATGAGGGGGGAAGGGAGTCCTCACTGGAACTGTACTGCTCACCTTACTTTACATCCGAGTCTTGGGAATAACTCTGTGGAACAGGCTTATTAACCTACAGAGGAAACTGAGGCATAGAGTGGCCAGGAGACACACCCTGGCCTCCCAGCTAGTGAAGAACCTTGTTCTGCCAGGACTGGGTAGCAAATACCCACTGTATGATCCTGCCAAGCTCCAGCAAATGTCAGAAACCCTCACTTCAGTGGAATGAATCTCCCCAGATGTCCAGGAGGTCTAAGGTCCCAAGAGATATGGTACCTGCACTGGATATGGCTGTCTTTGGAGTGGGTCTGTCAGGAGTTAGGTCCTTGATGTCACTGGGGTGAGCTCTTTTGGCTTGTCCAGTGCCAAGGAAGAAAAAAAAAAAAGAGAGAGAGAGAGAGAGAGCGCACTGAGTCAGGTGGGAACCCTTCTGTCTCCATCCCTTCTCTATGAGTTCGGCCTGAGCTCTGCTCTGAGAAGCTCCCAGGCCTCTGCATCCTCCACCACTTGCTGGTGAGCTCCTCAAGGGCTGGCGCTCAGAATACACTGGCCACCCTGGGTGTGTCCTGCACCAAGACATCTCAGCTCCTAAACTCATCCCCTTGCTGGATGGGGTCTTAACAGACCTCCCTCTGCTCTGCCAAATGGTGTGTGGTTAGCGCCCAGAGATCTGGGGTTAGCTCTGTGGGGTTGTGACTGTCTTACCCAGGTTAGCATGCCTCTCTTGAGCTTCCTCTTATATGTAGTCGGTCTCCTCTCTTTCCAGCATGCAGGAACCTGCAAGTTGGCTAGGTCCAGGTAGGTGGGATTGGGAAAAGGGAGACCGTGAAGAAAGGATGGAGACCACGCCCCTTACTTCTCACCTGCAATCCGGCCGTAGCTAGGACAGTTTTCCTTTCTATGGTCTCACTGAGCAGTAAGGATCCATCACCCAGTGGCTGAAAGCCACACGTCTTGGTCTCTTTTCAGTTGCTATAACAAGATACTTGTAACTAGGTAATTTACAAAGGACAGAGGTTGGCAGTCTTCTGCAAATTCACCAACAAATGTGCCCACTTTCTGGATTCTAAGTCCCAATAGTTTTCTTCTCCCCTCCCCCTCTGTCTCTTTTCTCCACACATTGGCTGAACCTCTAAGTCCATTTGCCCTGGAATAGTCTTCCTTCCTCTCTCTCCCCTTCTCCCCATCCAAATCCCAGTAAAATTATCTTTGTTCTGTCTGGGAAAAGAAATAAGAAAAGAAACAATAATGCAAGTTTATTTGGCTCAGCGTCCTGGGGGCTGCAGAATCCAAGAGCACTCGTTTAGTAAAAGGGCTGCATCGTAGCCTGGCATGGGGCATGGCATCATAGCCTGGCATGGGGCATGGCATCGTAGCCTGGCATGGGGCATGGCATCATAGCCTGGCATGGGGCATGGCATCGTAGCCTGGCATAGGGTGTGGTATCACAGCCAGGCATGGGGCATGGTATCATAGCCAGGCATGGGGCATGGCATCATAGCCAGGCATGGGGCATGGCATCATAGCCAGGCATGGGGCATGGCATCATAGCCAGGCATGGGGCATGGCATCGTAGCCTGGCATGGGGCATGGCATCGTAGCCTGGCATGGGGCATGGCATCATAGCCAGGCATGGGGCATGGCATCATAGCCTGGCATAGGGTGTGGTATCGTAGCCTGGCATAGGTCATGGCATCATAGCCAGGCATGGGGCATGGCATCATAGCCTAGCATGGGGCATGGCATCATAGCCTGGCATAGGTCATGGCATCATAGCCTGGCATAGGGTGTGGTATCGTAGCCTGGCATAGGTCATGGCATCATAGCCTGGCATAGGTCATGGCATCATAGCCTGGCATGGGGCATGGCATCATAGCCTGGCATGGGGCATGGCATCATAGCCAGGCATGGGGCATGGCATCATAGCCAGGCATGGGGCATGGCATCATAGCCTAGCATGGGGCATGGCATCGTAGCCTGGCATGGGTCATGGTATCAAAAGGCAAGCAAGCATATGTCGGCTCAGGTCTCTCTCCACTTTATCAAGCTCCACCAGCTGACCCCGATTGCTTCCCAATCACCCACCTCCACAAACCAACAAAGGTGTCGGAGTCTGAATGAGAGTGCCCCCCCCTCCCCCGGGCTCGCGATTTCAACACTGGGACCTTTAAGAGATAGGAACTAGCTGGCAAAAGTGGGTTGCTAGGGGCAAGCCTTTGAAAGCACAGCCCAGGCTG